GCCTGCTCACAGCCTACTCATAGCCTGTGTGGTCCTGGATCGCGCTCCTGTCCTGGCCTCTGCAACCTTTCTAGTCTGGCCTCAGCTCCCCTTTCCAGCCTCTACCTCCCCACTCCCTTGGACCCCACATCCAGCTACCCTTAGGTCTTCACAGTTCCCAGAAAGCCTTGAGCTCTCTCTTTCAAGCCCAGCGAGGCCCCGCTGGCCTCCCCAGGTAGAATAAACCTTCAGCTGTCCTGTGGCTCCATGCAGCCTGCCTCACTGTCTGCTGATTATCTACTGAGCATCTGTCACTGCTGCTGGTCTGCGGGCACCTCGAGGACATGGACATGGGTCCTTTTCATCTTTCTATCCCAGCCCCTAACCACATGACACAACAAGGGCAACATGCAGGGAAGGGCGTTGAAGGGTTGCCTGAACAGCTGCCCCTCTTCTCACAAAGCAACATGAGTAAACACAAAACATCAGGACCTTTAGGCAGAGCAGAGAAGAGGCTACGTGACCCGAAACCCCATAGGGAGGGGAAGAGTTTGGGGAGTGGTTCTAGCTAATAATACAGCTGTATTCGGTTTCTCAGTTGAATTAAGTCCTTCATGAGGATTGCTTTACGAGCGCCTAAGGGAGGGAGGGGTCAGAACAGGATCCAGACAATCACAGCTTCCTACTGTAACACCTGGCAGCATCATCCACCTTGTTCCTGAGGCCCTAGGGTTGTTGGAGGGAAGCCTTGCATTGCCTTTGGTTGGCAGATGGGCAGGTAAGCAGCCCTGGGCTGGCTGTGCCTCCTCCCATCTCCCCTTGTTCCTCTTTGCCTTTGGTGATCAAGCCACACTCCCCCATGGCTGCCATTAATGGTCAGGGGCAGGAAGGAGGGGCAGAGGGCACGGCATGGGTCTTGGGTTCAGACAGACCTGGGTTCGGACTCCACCTCTGTCACCTCCCGGCTGTGTGATCCTGGGCAAGCTGCTTAAATGCTGAGCCTCTGTTTCCTTGTTCATGAAATGAAGGTCACATCAAGAATTAGCTACCTTGAACTGAATTGTGTTCCCTCCGAAAATGTTGCATGATTTTTGTTGCAATGATAGGGCATGTCGAGGCCCTAACCCCTGAAGTGATGGTATTTGGAGATAAGGCCTTTGGGAGATTACTGGGGTTAGCGGAGGTCATGGGGGCGGCCTCATAGTGAGATGAGTGTATTGCACTCTTAAACTTTTCCTCTCTGCCATGTACAGACAGTGAGAAAGAAGCTATCTGCAAGCCAGAAAAAAGGTCCTCACCAGACAACGAATCCACTGGCACTTTGATTTTGGATTTCCAGGTTGCAGAAAGATGGGAAAATAAATATCCATTGCTGAAGACCCCAGCTCCCATTCCCCCAGGCACTGGCACATCACACTCAGCTAACTTCCTAATTTGCTACCATGTGGGCCCAGCCAGGCCTTTGTGCGTGTGCTTCAGCTCCCCACCTCCCTCTGACACCTGTGGAAATCCTACACATCCCTCAAGACTCAGCTCAAATACCACTTTCTCCAGGTTGCTGTCCCTGATCGCCAGAGTTGGACACATTATAGACTCTTAGCAATGCTTGCTGAATGAATGAGTGAGGAACGGGATTGCTCCTTCCTCGTGTTCACGATCAGTGCTTGAACCCATATCATTCTATGCCAGGTGCAAGTTTCTCATATCTCTGCTACATAAGCCATGAGTGCAAAGGTTCTCCCCGCTCTCTGCTGGATGTTTTGATGAACTTTCAAGATGAAACAAGTACCCAAATTTCCAGTCCTCTTTCTAAGACAAATGTGGCCAACCCAGATCCGCATCTTGGAATGACATCACAATGACAAAATCAAAGATCACTGACTGCTGCTAGTGCCTCTGGAAGCCATCTAGGCCCCCTGTTTTCAAACTGTTTTTAGCAACAGACTCAAAATTGTCAAATAATTAACAGCATTTTTTAAAAACAGAACTCCCATTCACAATTGCTACAAAGAGAATAAAATACCTAGGAATACAGCTAACAAAGGATGTGAAGGACCACTGCTCAAGGAAATAAGAGAGGACACAAACAGTTGGAAAAACATTCCATGTTCATGGTTAGAAAGAATCAATATCATGAAAATGGTCATACTGGCCCAAAGTAATTTATAGATTCAAAGCTATCCCCATCAAGCTACCATTGACCTTTTGCACAGAACTGGAAAAATTCACTTTAAACTTCAAATGGAACCAAAAGAGAGCCCACAGAGCCAAGACAATCCTAAGCAAAAAGAACGAACCTGGAGACATTATGCTACCTGACTTCAAACTATACTACAAGGCTACAGTAATCAAAACAGCATAGTTCTGGTACCAAAACAGAGATATAGACCAATGGAACACAGCAGAGGCCTCAGAAGTAACACCACACATCTACAACCATCTCATCTTTGACAAACCTGACAAAAACAAGCAATGGGGAAAGGATTCCCTGTTTAATAAATGGTGTAGGGAAATGTGGCTAGCCATGTGCAGAAAGCTGAAACTGGACCCATTCCTGACACCTTACTCTAAAATCAACTCTAGATGTTGATTTTAGATTTAAACATAAGACATAACACCATAAAAACCCTAGAAGATTACCTAGGCAATACCATTCAGGACATAGGCATAGGCAAGGACTTCATGAATAAAACACCAAAAGCAATGGCAACAAAAGCCAAAATAATCAAATAGGATCTAATTAAACTTAAGAGTTTTGGCACAGCAAAAGAAACAATCATTAGAGTGAACCAGCAACCAACAGAATGGGAAAAAATTTTTGCAATCTACCCATCTGACAAAGGGCTAATATCCAGAATCTATTAAAAAAACTAAAGCAGATTTATAAGAAAAAAAAAACAAAACTGATTCAAAAGTGGGCAAAGGATATGAACAGACACTTTTCAAAAGAAGACATTTATGAGGCCAAAAAACATATGAAAAACTGCTCATCATCACTGCTCATTAGAGAAATGCAAATCAAAACTACATTGAGATACCATCTCACGCCAGTTAGAATGGCAATCATTAAAAAATCTGGAGACAACAGATGCTGGAGAGGATGTGGAGAAATAGGAACACTTTTACACTGTTGGTGGGAATGTAAATTAGTTCAATCATTGTGGAAGACAGTGTGGCGATTCCTCAAGGATCTAGAAATACCATTTGACCCAGCAATCCCATTACTGGGTATATACCCAAAGTATTATAAATCGTTCTATTATAAAGACACATGAACATGTATGTTCACTGTGGCACTGTTTACAATAGCAAAGACCTGGAACTAATGCAAATGCCCATTGATGACAGACTGCACAAAGAAAATGTGGCACATATACACATACATGGAATACTATGCAGCCATAAAAAAGGATGAGTTCATGTCCTTTATAGAGACACGGATGAATCTGGAAACCATAATTCTCAGCAAACTAACACAAGAACAGAAAACCAAACACCACATGTTGTCACTTATAGACGGGTGTTGAACAGTAAGAACACATGGGCACAGGGAGGGGAACATCACATACTGGGGTCTATTGGAGGTGGGGGGCTTGGGGAGGAACAGCGGCGGGTGGGGAGGTTGAAGAGGGATAACATTGGGAGAAATGCCTGATGTAGGTGACAGGGGGATGGAGACAGACCATGGCATGTGTGTACCTATGCAACAATCCTGCAAGACCTGCACATGTACCCCAGAACTTGAAGTAGAATTAAAAAAAAAAAAAAAAAAAAAAAAAAAAAAAAACAGAACAGAACTGACCTGCACAAATTGTGCTTAGATCCCTGAGGCACCTCTGCAAAATTCCAGGGCTCCTGGGAACCTTTGAGACTCACTGTCCCAGGCTTCCCCTGCGTTTTGTACACAAGGATGCTGGATTCTCAAGCAAGAAAAGCCTGGAAGGCACCCAGGGCTGTGCTTGGTCGGCTTCCTGTCCGTCCCCAAAACAGCCTGTGCTCCAAGAACCTGGAGCTCCTCACATCCCCCGATGCGTCCTACACCCCAGGCTTCCATCTCTCACTCCACCTCCAAAACTTGGCCAGGCATCACTTCCTGCAGGAAAGCTTCCCTCGCACCTCCATCCTGCCCTTACCCATGGGTGGTGGTAGGTCAAAGCCAAAGCCAGCACCCATGGGATAGCACCTAAAACTTACAGCTAGGTAGGTGGGACCCAACCTTTAACTGCGAACCAGAGGCACAACGTGAAGAGGACCTGCGGGAATTGCACCTGGATCTGACTTCAGAGTGAAACAAAAGCCAAAGATGGGTTTTATCCAGCAGACACCCAAGTGGCCTCTGGTTGTAATTTAAAGCCAACAAAAACAGGCCAGGCACAGTGGCTCAAGCCTATAATCACAGCACTTCGGGAGGCCAAGGAGGGCCGATTGCTTGCGGTCAGGAGTTCCAGACCAGCCTGGCCAACATGGTGAAACCCCATCTCTCCTAAAAATACAAAACTCAGCCGGGCAGGGTGACAGGCGCCTGTCATCCCAGTTAGTGGAGAGCCTGAGGCAAGAGAATCATTTGAACCCAGGAGGTGGAGGTTGCAGTGGGCCGAGATCATGCCACTGCACTGCAGCCTGGGTGACAGCGCAAGACTCCGTCTCAAAGATAGATAAATAAATAAATAGCAACAACAACAAAACAAATCAAGAAAATGTCCACGTTTCCATGCGTAAGGCCCCTCCTGCTCCTTTCCCTGGCATTAGAGCCCAGAGGATTCCCCCCTCGCCCCGCCCCCCGGGACTTCCGAAACCCCCTTCATCTGGTCTCCCAACGTTCTCCCAGGACACCCACCATCAAGCCGCAAGAACTGCCATGCCCCCCGCCCCCGGTCCCTGTGTCATCACGGTCTGTTTCTGTGTCTCCCCTGTCCCCCGAGCGGAGCTGGTCTCTGTCCCCGCGGTGCGCCGGGGCCCGCGCGCACCCGAAGGTTTTCGCGGGGCCGCAGCGCCCTCTGCCGGGCTTGCCGCGCACTCACCGGGGTGGGGGCGTTCACCACCGACAGGTTGTAGCCGTAGAGGAAGGAGGAGCCCAGGGCGCCGGTGAGGGAGGCCACGAGCAGCGAGCAGGACCAGTCCTGGGGGGAGAGGAAAGCGCGTCAGAGCCGGCCCCGGGCGCGCAGCCAGAGCAGAGGGACGGCCTGGGCAGGCCTCCCCTCCTCAGCTGGGGCAGGCCTTCCCGGGGAGAAGTCATTGTCCTTGGCCGGGCTAGAGACGGAGGGAAGGGACGCTAGTTGGGGACCTGCGGACAGGGCTCTCGTTCAGGTCCGCGTGCGCAGGCCGGGCGCCCTCGGGTCCGGCGGCCACGCCCTTGCCTTCCTCCCTGGTTCAGTGAAGATCCCCGGAACGCAGACCTAACGTTTTCAGCAGGTGCTCTGAGCAGTTCCACAGGATCGTTTTAGCTGAATTTGGTGAGTGTCTGACCCGGACAGAAAAAAGCTAAGCCAGACTCCAAGCGCTGTCGGCCTGGCGCGATTCTAAGCACTTTCTGCGCACTGCCTCTGAGTCCTTAGATCAGTGCTGTTTTATCCTGTATTACAGACGAGGAAAGAGGGGCCTGAAACCGTGGCTGGTGGTATCTGGGTTGGGGACTGGAGTCCAGGTGGCCTGGCTGCAGTGCCCCTGTAGTCACCACTGCACTGCACCGCCTGTCCCCTGCTGACTTGTCACCTGAGTGCGGTGTCCAGGGGCCTGAGGCTGCCGACAGCCACACAGATGTGCGCACATGCACAGAATTCCAGGCTGCGGCGTCAATCTACAGGGGCTGGTCCAAGCCTGGGGACAAGGACCTGCAAACAGATGCAACGTTTGGCACAGAGAACAGGGCATTGGCCCTGGCGTTGTCCTGCCCATCTAAGGATGGCCACCACCAGAATAGGGCCACAGGACAGAAACCCCTGAGCCCCTGGCAAAGGCTGACCAGCTGGCATGAGCCAGGGCAGGAGGGACAGCCATCCTCAGCTGGGCAGGGAATATTGGCCAAGTGCTCATATTCCCGTATCGCAAGGGAATACGGGACCAGGTGCTCCGGAAGGCACTTACTTTGTCATCGTTCGACAAATTTGTGAGTGTGTGTCTGTTTTGCAGAGGCCAGGCCCTGACAAAGCTGTGGGGACACAGCAGTGAACAAGACAGACAGGTCCATGGTTCAGGGACCCGAATCAGTCAACTCCCATCTGCAAGGGAACTCAGGTCTCTGATAGCCAGTTCCCTGCTCTGCCCATCTCATGTGTCTCGTCGAGTGCCACCAGCCATGAGATAGAGTGCTGGGGCTTTGAGTCAAGTGATATCAGCTTTACCTCCAGGGACGGCCCCACCACTCAGCTGTAGGAGCCTGAGCAAGTGACTTGCTTTTCTGAGGCTCGGCTTGCCCACCCGTGAAATGGGATCTCAACAGCAGCACTGGATGCATATGTTGTTGAGGGGCCTGCTGCAGAGGAGGTGCTTGGTAGAGGCTGCTGGTCACATAGAGGGGTGAGAGGGCGCGTTTGTAAGCCTTGGGGATGGGTGCTGCCAAGCGAAATGTGGGACCAGAATGTTTTTCTGCTGTAAGAGGAGCTTGAGATGAATGGGGATCCCTGATTGGACAGAATCACATTTCAGACTAAACACCTGTTCTCCATCACCCTTTCTCTCTAAACCCGTCCTCTGAGTCTTGGCACAGATTCCGCTTCTTCTGAGTGCCTGGGCTGCACTGGGCATTGTTTCTGTGCTCTGTGCCTTCGACCTAAGAGGACACAGACTCCTCCCTCGTCTGCACCCCATGGATTGGGAGCACCGGGTGGGAAGTGCCCCTGCCAGAGGCCGGTGAAGGGCAGGTGAGGGGCGTCTCCTCCTGCCTCAGCTGTGCTTCCCGGAGCCCCCTGCCTGTGTGGCCCGCCTGTGCCCTCCACCTGCTCCCCACCTGCTGCAGGGGCAGAGGGTGCCCGCTGACCATGGTGCCACTGCCTGTGCCGTGCCCTGGGGAGGGTAAGAAGAGGGACACCACCACACAGGTTCGGGACAGGGCAGTCTTCCACCACGGCCTCATTTCATGTACACAGCCAGCCTACTAGAGACACTGTCGGCCCAGTCAGCTGGGGCTTGGAGAGCGTATGCCAAAGTCACACAGCTGGGGAAGTGCCACTCAAACTGGGCCCTCCCTGGCTCAAAGCCCCAGACCTCACACGCTGCCAGGCTGGAGTCGAGTGCTGTCACACGGCTGCCACCCCTGCCTGCCCTCCCCTAGCCCTCCAGCCACGCAGAGCCGATGTCCGTATTTACCTTGCTTCTCCTCCCACCTGGCACCCCGCTCCTCAGGTGGTCACACTCTGGCAGTGCCCTCCCTGGCCCTGGAGGCTCAGCATGCCTGGTGTCGTCTGTGAGGGAAACTAGGCCCAGTTCCTTGGAATTCATATTTTGTTTCCTTGGCAGGTGTCTTGGTGACCCAGCTGACAGCTCGGCCCAGGGACCCTGGACTCCGCCAAGGCATCTCCGTGAATAAGGAGGCAGAGTCCACAGGAAGAAGGGCGGGAGTTTCCAACAGGAAGTGTGGCAATTCGATCATGCCTGAACAGGAAATGGGGCAACCTTTTTTTCCCTGCTCCTAAGTTGTTACAGCAACGAAAGAGTCCAAAAGGGGAAATCTGTCCTCTCCTGAATCACCACCAGGGGGCGGATTTTTTTTTCCTCAGCATCCCATTTTTTTCTCTTAACACCCTGGAGCAGGGTGACTGCCCTTATCCTAGGTTACCTCCCTAACGCTTGGGACAGAATGGGGAGGTGGCTGACGTTGATTCAGAAGCCTGGGTAGGGCTTTACTCCTCCACTTTTTAACTGTGTGTCCTCAGGCAGGTCACTTTGTTCTCTGAGCTGCCACTTCTACCACTGCAAAATGGAAGATTGACCCCACTCTGACTGTCCTGCAGAATTATTCAGAAGCTCAAATAGAAAACACTCAGCCCCAAGCTGCATGCTGGAAATGAGCACAGGCTATCCCACAGCCTAGAACAAAGGCAAGGGCTGTGGGTTTCCAAGAAAAAGAATTGGCCTCTTGGTGTCATTACTCTCTCCTGCTCATTCAACATTGTCTGAGGGGACAGGTCCTGTGTGCCAGCCCCAGGCTGGCTCAAGGACTGCACTGAGAAGGCACCAGGGCGTTGTGAGAACCAATTCATTGCATGGCCACGCTGCCTCAGACATCAGAGAATTCAATTTTGACTAGGACAGTTTGCTCCCAGAATCAGAGAGCGGAGCAGAGGCTGGACCAGAGCCAGGGACAGGCTTGGTGAATGTAGGATGCCCTGGAGACAAGGTAGGGTTCAGTCCACAAAAGAGAGACTGAAAAGCCAGCAAACTAGGTTTAGTAAAAAGCACACACTAAAATCAAAGGTGTGGAGTACAGCAGACATGCCAGGAGCCTGGAATGTGAAATGCACGGGGAAACATCCAGCCCGGACATGCACGGTGGTGGGAATGTGGCCGCTCAAAGCAAGTGGGGAACCAAGACTTCCCAAAAGGAAAACCAGCCCTCAGGTGTTAGGCTGGGGTGTACTGAGCGCGTCCGTTACTCTGTGCAGTCGTCCTTCTGCATACTGATGAGTCAGACACGCCCCTGGGAGAAGTGGCTATTACTTGAACTGGATTTCAGCCATGCAGCCTGGTTTCCTCGCTGAGTGGTGGCCTGGAGGGGCATTCTGATGTGCAAATCCTTGATTATAACATGACCTGAAACAGTGGAGGATTTCCCAGGACAGCGTGGAGGAGGCACCGCACCAGTCTCAGCTGAATCTCAGAGACCCCCTGGAAGAGGCGGCTTCTGAGCAGACTGAGAAGGGTATGGGGTGAGAGGGCAAGGAACCAGGGCCTGCAGGCACAGATGTCTGCTGTGTGGGGGAGAGACACTGTCAGTGGGGCATGTTTGGTGCCTGAAGTGCAGCAGGTAGGCAGAGGAGGGGCAGGGACAGCCCCATCCCTGTGCATGGAGGGCCCGTCCACCCCTGTGCCATCCTGATGGGGACTGCATTTTCATCATCTCATTTCCTCCTCATCATCCCATTGCTGTGACTCCCTTCTCTATACCCTCCCTGTTTCCTCATCTGTAACAGCAGGGACCTCACCAGATTTTGCTAAAGCTCAAATTGAATCAGGTGACCCCTCATCTCGTTAAAAATTGTTTCATAGTTCTCTGTTGGGATTGAAAACTCAAAAGGTGCCAGAAATTAGGCGGTCAATGCAAATATGTAACTACAGCTGGACAGAAAGTAAGAGGGAGGATGGGTCCCTCCCAAACACAGATGGCAGTTAACCGGGGCTCCCGGTAGCCAAAGCACCTGCCTCACCTTCAGCTCATGTTACACGTGCACAGGGCTTTCCCAAGTGCATTCACATTCATGATATCGTCCAGTCCTCAGAGGAGCTGTCAGACCTACATTTCGGGGCAACAGCTGGAGTTCTGGGGGAGCATAGAGGAGCCCGCCTCCAAAGCAAGGGCCGGTTTCCCATTCCACACGGCCAGCAGCCCTGAGCTCCAGGCAACTGCAAAGGAAGCGACTCCTATCACAGATGAAGTCATAAGACAAACGTCTCCTCCGGGTGGTCGGGGCTGGGGCACGTTCTGCCTGCTCTGACACTCCCTGGTTTCTTCACTCACTCATCCTTTGCCTGTCTTTATGGAGCTCCTGCTCATTCAGGTTCTCCTGGCCTTGCTCAGGCCCTCCCTTCTGACTCCCCTGAACTGTGCTCACCCTTCAGCACCCAGCTGCCTTGCCACCTCCTCCCAGCAGCCTCCCTGACCTCACGCTGCCTCTGCGCACTACGTGCTTCTGCTCACCTGTGCCTTCCCCTCTGCACAGGAGCTCACCGCGGGCAGGGGCGGTGTGCATCTCAGTGGGCTGATCGCGTTCCCCCAGATTCACTGACATGTTGAAGTCCTCACCCACAGTATCTTACAGTGTGGCTGTGTTTGGAGATAGGGGTTTTGAAGAGGTAATAAGGTGAAATGAGATCATATGCATGAGGCCTTAATTCAGTATGCCTGGTGTCCTTATAAGAAGAGGAGATGAGGGGACACGGATGCGCACAGAGGGAGGACCACATGAGGCTGCAGGGAGCAGGCATGCAGGGGAAATGTCAGCAACCAAGAAGGGCGGCTTCAGAAGGAACTAACCTGCTGCCACTTTGAGCTTGGACTTCTGGCTTCCGAGACTGTGAGACAATACATTTCTGTTGTTTAAGCTGCCCAGCCTGTGGGACATAATCCCGGCAGCCCCAACAAACCCACAGTATTCTAAGCCTCTTTGTATTCCCTAGCCTTCCTCCAGCCTGGCTCAGGGACGGGGTCCATTAGCTAGAACTTCTGGAACTGACCAGAAACTGTCCTCCAGCTGATTTCCTAAGGCTAGAAAGTTGTCTTGGACAAGGTGGAAATTTTCTAGCAGGGAAGAGTTGGAAAAGAAGGGGCATTTTCTGTTGAGCATCATTTAAGCAGAATGTTTGAAATGACTACATCCCTTCCTTCATTACACCAAATACCAAGACAGTCGATCCTTGACTCACCTAATGTAAGCACCAAGAAAAGATATAGTGTCTACTTAGAGGGAACTGCTGTCTGTTGACATGATCCTTGTGTGGGGTCCTGGGTGATCTCAAACAGGTGACTACACCCTTATCCTCCATTTTGCACCTCTGTGGGGAGAATGAGGTTCAGCTTGCCAATTTCACACTTTCTTGGTAACTTGGTAAATGGACTTGTGTTGATCTCTGTCACCAAATACAGGTGTGTTACAAATATAAATACACCTTCCCTGGAGTTGCAGTAGCTTCCACACCCTTCACAGGAGACGAGGCACAGATGATACAGGGTTTAAGACCAGCTCACACCTGTGCTAGCCACATAGCCTTGGATAAGTGGCTTCAGCTCTTTCTGATCCTCAGTTCATCGCCTATAAAATGGGGCTAGTGATGCCTTCACCATGGTTGGATCCAGAGAGACCCATGTAAAGAGTTTCTCTTTAGATGGGAGTCCTATGCAAAGGTCCAGCACAGAATAGGCACTCTCTGGCTGTTGGTTCTTAAATCAGGTTTAAAGAGAGGATCTGATGCATCCCAAGAAGGAAGAAAGTCATTCTATTAAGAGCTGCTGAGGAATTCCTGGAGGAAGGGGCAGGTGGACTGAGCCTTGCGATGGATTAGGGGGTGGGTTTTAGTGTACCTCTAAGGATGACGACATAATCATTGTCAACATCAATGTCCCTTGTTGAGAAATGACTTTTGTAATGAAGACATTTGCCCCAAGCCCAGAAAGTCATCAGCAGATCAGGACTGTCAATTTCACTCTTCTGAGCCTCACCCCATGCACTCTACAATCCCCATGGCCCCTTCCCATAGAACTTGACTTTTAGCTGCTGCTCAATCTTTTCTCTGCCCAGCTTCACCTTAACAGCCTCCCCCTGACCCAGGGGAAGAGACAACTACACCGTGGGTGACCAGAATAGTCATCTAAGGGAGAGAGAGAAAAAAAGAGGACTAACCAATTTCTTTTTCGCTGAATCACTTTCCTTGTCTCCTCCTCGGTCCTTTTCATGGAGCTTCATGGTTCACTTTTCAGGTTTTGAACTTTTGTTGTTGTTATTGTTTCTGAGAAAGAGGAAAACGAAAGAAGCCACTAGATATTAGACAGCTGCTGTCTGACCTGTGCAAGTCAGGAGAGGTGGCCTGGAGCAGCCTTCGAAAGGTTTGCTGTGAGGGGCTCTGGCTAGGATGCCAGGATGGGACACTCAGCATCCTTGATTGAACCCCAGGTACCCCGGAGACCTGGGTACCTCCCTGCTCTCCTCTGGCCTCAGTTTCTCTATTTTTGAGTGTAGGGCTTTCCACACTTGCCTTGTTGCTTATTAAATACAGGCTGCTTTCTGGAATATTTTCATTCAGATGGTAATTCTTATGATGAGGCATGTTTTGAAAACATGAGGCTGGCTGTCTCCAAGATGTAAAAATAAAATCAGCGCAAATTCAAACTAAGTGCCAATCTCACCTGTCAAATTGGAAACAGTTACCAAAATCATACCCTGAATCAGTGGCATGACAGAAGTAGAAAATTGCATAGCTTTTCTGGAGTTTAGAAATATGTTTCTAGAATCATAAAAATATTTCTGCCCTTTAGCCCAACCACTATACGTATAAAAACGAATTCTAAAGCAGGAATAAAAATGTGCACACAGATTTAAGGTCAAGATGTTCACTGTAGCATTTTCCATATCAGAAAAATGGCATTTGTAACAGGATAAAATATCTAGCAGAAAAACGTGGATAAATTGCAGTACATCCATATGATGGAATCTTATAAAGTCCTTAAAAATTATGTTATAGGAGAACATTTGATGCCAGGGGGAAGTGCTCATAGTAAATTCTTACTTAACAAGAAAAAGGAAGATATATAAACAAACATTATTCGACATTAAAAATAGATGTAATTGCCAGGCGTGGTGGCTCACACCTGTAATCCCAGCACTTTGGGAGGCCAAGA